ACATGCATGGGAAGAGCTGGTGCCGCAGTGCTAGACGGGCGGGCAGGGTGCGGTGAGACTCGGACAGATGTCAGCGAATGAAAGAAGCGGTGTTCCCCCAGGCTCAGCTTCTGAGGGCTAAGCCCCTTCTCTTACATTTTTAACACACTTAAACTGCACTTAACCATGCGTTTGGAGGGGATTATAGATTTAGGCTAAATATGGTAAAATAGAAAAAGGAGCTTTGTCAGGTACCGTGTAGGGTTAGGGAGCTATAGTATCAGACTGGAGACTGTATTTATTTTTTTTCAAGTCAGCGTTTACGGAGAGCTAAGCATTGTGCTGAGCATTTCCTATGCATGAATTGTCTCTTAGCAACCCTCTGCGGGTAATTATTTATTATTAATAGTCTTCCCAGGAAGGTTTTTCCTAATTGCCATTATTATTGTATTTTTTACCCCCAGATAGATGTTTCCAAATGGTATTCATAACCTCTCTTATGATGATGATTCCCATTACTCAGATCCAGGCACAGCGAACCTTAGAGAGGCCTTGTAGCTTGTGTCCCGCGGGCCGGGTCAGAATTCGAACTGCTGCCTACTGGCGGGTCCTGGTGGGAGCCCACCCTCTGCCTTCATGAGCTCCATTGTTTGAAGAAATTATGATTTAACGTATACAGATCAGTGGCCCGGGAAATCAGAGTATGGTACGGCTTATCTTTTGCGTATAGCCAATAGAACTATTGAAAAGCCTTGGAAAACCTTGCATATGGTATGTGTGGATGGTTTTGTGTTAGACACCACAGCATGCACTGGAAAACAGAAATTTTTGGGGGAGGCTTGGGGAAGCATCTCCCATTGGGGTGTCACCTGGCAGAAAGAATGGGCCACCCTTTTCTGTCTCTCAGTGTTGACTCCCTTCCTGTTCATTTTCTGCTAATAGGATGCGACTCTTTTATGTTCACCTGGGCTGCCACTGGACAGCTTATTGCTCTTGCAGAAAACTAGCCCTCAGTTTTCTTTAGTGTGAGTAGGTCAGGCTTGGGGGACTTCTAGATAAAACATGTTGCAGTTGCCCCCCGGAAAAGCAGGTGGCTTGAACTTAATAGCCGTCTAGGCTGGGCGAGTCCCTGCCAGGCTGAAGCGGGAGGGCGGCGGCTGCTCAGTGCTGGCAGTTGGCGCCACAAGGAGTGTGGGCCCAGCGTGTAGCACACGCCGCGTTTATTATTCCAAGAGATAATAGCAATTCAAATACTTTGTTCATTTTTAAAAGATGATGGTCCAAAGCATTGCTGTGTTTTAAAAGGGCGCTTTAAAAAGAAACCCTCCCCCCCTTTCCTCTTCTGACTCTGTGGAAGAAGGGGATGCAGGAGACAATGGGTAGGTGGGCTTTGAACTTGAGCTCCTCCCCTAAATCCTGAAACCCCTTTGCAAGGGAGGGCTCCCCTTTACTCTGCTCACTCGCAGAGGCGGTTGGTAGTGCTGATCTAGGTGCCAGTGGGAATGGCGAGGCCGCGTTCTCATGAGGGAAGCTAGGGCAATGGAAAGGCTAAGAGAGACATTCATTTGTGTAAGTCAAAGAGTTGAACCTGGAAAGCCCATATAAACCTGTCAAGCTTCAGAGCCTTTGTCTTTTTTCTCAGTGCAGGTCTGTGCAGCGAAGTTGATTATTGTTATTGGTTTTTTAGGTCAGACTTTCTGAATCTAGCCTTCCCACTTTAAAATTTGTGAGAACACGGCTCCCAAGTTCCCACTGAAGATCTGATAAATATCATAACTAAATATCATTATTGGATTTGGATTGTGGTCATAGAAATAAATTTAGCTGACATATCTACAAGCCCCAGGCACCATGCCCCTCCTCAAGCCATCAAGACCCAATGCACAACAGAAGAAACATATGAGTGTGTGTGTGTGTGTGTCTACGTGGGTAAGTCAGAAAGTATCGACACTGGCATTCCAGTTCATATATGCACACATTTATTTGAATCAAAGCATATTTGAACATGTCTGTGTGATCAGTGATTGGTTGCAGGCAAGTCAAGTATGCTAAGCAAAACGTTTACTGTAGTCTTATCTCTTAGTCTTCAAAGAAAAGTGTGATAGGGGAGCCTGCTGTGCCAAATTCAAGGCAAAGAGAAAGGTCAGCTCAAAGGCATACATCTTGATGGATAACCTTGAGGGACAAAAAGCAATCATGGGAGCTTATCAGGAAGACATTCTGAGAAAATGGGAGGGCACCTTGGTGAGAAAAAGGGTCAGGGCAGGTGCATCAAGGAATTTCCTTCCACCCTAACAATGTCCTGTTCATTCTTGGGAGGGTAGCAAGAATCAGCCTATGGGAATTTCTCTGGGACATTAAAGCCCATCCACCCTATAATCTTGCCCCTTAAGACTTCTGTTTGTTTCCCAAACTCAAAGAACCTTTCCATGGAACATGAGTTGAGTCCCTTGAGGATGTCCAAACTGCCCTTTTGCTGCAGTGTAAATTTCAGAGTTCAGAATGGCCCAGGGAAGGTGTTAGAGAGATGGAAACACTGTTTTTAGAAATGTGGAAACCTAGGTAGAGGATATGCCAAGAAGCAATAGCTTCATGCTTTGATACTTTGTTTAACACGGGTTTCTGTGATTTTGTTGTAGTATTTTTTTGACTTACCCTCATACATGCAAGTGTCTTAATGAAGTTATGTATTAAGATGGGGATTTAGTGCAGAAAACCTATGAAGGATAGGGCTTGCCATCAATTTTATAAGATCCACGAATCCATTTCCAGTGGAAGAAAATGGACTTCGTAGACATTAACTGGCCCTCCCTAGGTTACAAGCTAAGTAGGGAAAGTTTTTTGGAGCCCTGCACTCCTGTTACCTGCCCGCCTTTGTGGCTTTCCTTGCCTTCTTGTGTCTTCATGGCAGAATTGATGCTAATCCTCTTCACCTTTTTTATTCTGTTCTACTCCTGGGTCTTGTTTATACAGTTGAAACTATCTTTGTTCTCTTGGTAGTGATATCTCTTGTTGATTTCACGACATAAAGAATATTTTCAGAGTACAGTTCCATTTGCCTGTTCAGTTTACATGAGCAACATCAAATTGTGGTTAATCTACAACTGAATCTATAGCTAAAGAAGCTATAGGTAGCTAAGTAGGCAGGCAGGGGACATCCCCCCTCCCCCTCATCCCCAGAGTGCACTAGCTGGTTTATAATTTTCCTTGTTCATAATTTTTTTATTTGGGGAAGAATCTAATCTCACACAATCGTTTAATTGTGATAAAGACTATGAAGTGGCACTGGAATTACTCTCCCTTACATTTGCTTCCCCCAGGACCCTTTTGTCCTCTTATCAGCTTCATTTTAAAATAGTAACTCTCCATGTAAACTTTGATCCACATTAAGCTGCAGGGACAGGAATGCCTAAATCTCCATATCTGGGTTTGGGGGTCTGTTAAAAGCTTTTCTTTCTTGGGCTCTGTGATCAAGGATGCAGAACAATAAAAAGCAGGGAGCCAGAGCAGTTTTAGGGCAGCTCTGAGAGCAGGAAATTAAGGGTTTGTTTTTCTTTAACATGCAGATGGGTGAAGGGCTGTTCTGTTGCATCCTGGAGCACTCAGGCAAGTGAACGTCAGTTTATCATTTCGGTGAAATGCAAACTGTAGAAATAGTTTCTACAGTCATATGAACGAGGAGCTGTCACAGATGACTGCTTCAGCTGTTTAACTAGGAGCACACTTCCCCATATGATTTCTCTTGAAATGCGTTCAAGAGAAAAAGAGGGAAAACAAAACAGCAACGAAGACTATATAATATGATGACTGTAGCCAAGTGTTTGTTGATCTCTCACAAGGCTAACCGGGAATATATAAGCAACAAGAGGAGGTGGTATCTTACCGAATGACCTCTGTGCCCTTCTTAGGCATAGAGTTTGATACTCTAACAGGTAAAACATGCGGGGCGATGCCAGGCATGTCCATACACACTATGGAGAGCAGAGGTAATCTGGCACCCTCATTCAGATGTGCTTTGCATTGATTGGGCTTTTCCACATTGATAAACGCTCCTAAGGGTCAAAATTATCCTGCAGCAGTTATTAACCGTCCTTGCAGCAGGACGAAGGAATGGATGGGTTGGTTGGTGATCTGTATATTCAGTGCCTGGGTAGCCTGAGAATCTATGATGGCCAGACGCCTACCAATTTTGAGGTATAGAAAGAATCCCTTTGCTGCTATCTTAGGCTTGCAGAAGAGATATTGCACCTCAGGTTTTGTATGTGGCTGTCATGGCTGTTCCATGGCCTTAAAAGCGCCTTGATCAAATTCATCAGCGATCTTTAAAAGCTAAATGGACCAGGCCCTTTGCATTATTGTTAGTGCTGGGCACACACATTCCCCAGACCGAAATCCTGTGTACACTTTGCAGGAGAGCATCTAATGAGGAGTTGATGCTTAATATGTTAGAAATTCCAGTTTCTGAGATTCAGTCTGTGTGATCCACTTCATGTACTTTCTTTAGTCAACAGAGTAAATTGCTCTATTTCAGTGGTAATTGAATTAACCATGTTGTATAAAGCCCCTTGGACACAATTTTAGTCCATCTCTTGCAAGATGTCTGTGGCACTTAGTAGTTTTTATTTTTATTTTTTTTTTAAAGATAATCATTGCAAGTAGAAAAATCCTTTTCGTTGTACAAAGCCTGTTTCCATATAAACCAAAGTTTGCCCTTGGTGAACGTAGAAGAGATAGCCGTTTTGATCGCCTGCTTGTAATCTAGGAAGCTAGAGCTCAAATGTGTTGATCTTGTTTGGCATGAAAACAAACAAACAAACAAACAAACAAACAAAACCCCAAACCACAAAGGTACACTTCTTACTCTACGCTCTATTTTGGCCCCATTCAAACATTGCAAAAATGTGTTGTACTTGCAAGTGGAATTTGGACTGATGATATATTCTAGAAGTGATGTGAACTGATGACGTGGAGGAGTGGCCGCAGAATGCAGCACCACTGCAGTAAGCCTGTCTGTTTTTCAGGTCGATCCCCTGTTTACAGTGCCAGCACCGCCACCACCGATTTCCAGCAGTCTCACGCCTCAGATTCTGCCCTCCTACTTTCCCCCATCTTCATCCAATATTGCAGCACCGGTTGAACAGCTTTTGGTTCGGACTCGTTCTGTGGGTGTCAATACGTGTGAAGTTGGAGTAGTGACAGAGCCAGAGTGTCTTGGGCCCTGTGAACCCGGGACCAGTGTGAATTTGGAAGGGATCGTGTGGCATGAAACAGAAGAAGGTAAATACCATTTATTTTTTATATATTTCCTCATACCCTCTTCACCCTTAATGTGTTTGTGCATACCTCTGATGGGGAGTGGTTGCGTGGTACCCAGAGAAAAGAGAAAAGTGGATGTTTGTTGCAATAAGAACTGTGTTTGCCTCCTCGTTCGTAGATGCTTTTTGATTCAGGCTGAGTCAGGGGTCTCTAAAGTGCTTCACCGCTTCACGTGCTGAGATAAAGGATGATGAGCAGCAGGGCGAAGGGCTAGTATCTCCCTTCAGAGATGTAGTGGCAACATAACACCTTCCCTGTGCTGTACCTCCATCTGCGCCTGGCAAAGTGCGAGCTAGTCATCACGTGGGAAGCAAGGTGCAAGAGCTGTGGGTCAGGATTCATTTATCGTCATTGCTGTTGGCAGTGAATCAGAGCACACGCCATGCTGATGGTAGACCCAAATCAGAGTTGGTCAGGTCTATAGCAAGGGATCATCAGATCTTTGTGGCCGGGGTCTTCACTACAGACCAAGAGTCATTGACCAAGGAGGTCAATGACTGCAGACCAAGGAGGGCATCACATTTTTTGCTTTGGGAATAGGAGAATAGGAAAAGTAAGGAAGAGGGAACACCAAGGTACAGCAGGGGCCCAGAGTAAAATGAGAATATGGAGGACCCCCCCACCTCCCTCGCCCCCCTCCCAGTTAGATTGGTCCCCAGGTTGAAGGAGATGACCATCCTTGACATCTTTGTCATGATGAGAGTGACAAGGAAGTGTCTGAGCCTTGAAGTCAGTATTAGGCTCCTCTGTGCAAAGAGAAAGAGACCATTGAGGACCGAAAACAAAAAGCTCAAGATAAATACATTGGGAAAAGGCGCTGTGGATAAAGTAGGTCAAATGGCTGGAGGGCTTTTGGAGGGAATGTGGTCGTGGAGAAAACCAGTTAAAGGATGTGAGAAATTGAGACCTGATAGAAGAGAATAGAAAATGAAGACAGAAAAGTAGGGGACAGGTGGAACTCTCTGTTGTTAGAAGGCAGAAAATAGCTCATGCTGTTTCAAAACTGGAAAAACAAAAATTCCTAGACAGATCTTCACATTCCACCTGTTTCAGTCATAAACACACATGTTTGTAGGATAGAGTTCCTAATTGCCTTTGTAAAGAACAGTCAGGTCCGTATCAAAGAGGAAGGAACCAGAGGAAGGACATGAGAGCAATCCACAGAGAGAGCCCTCTTGTTTGCTTACAGGAAGAAGTATAGTTACATGAGCATTTGGCTTGAGAATGCTTTGGTATTTGGCCTCTCTCCCTGTTCTCCTATTGGCACTTTTAATTTGGGTCTTTCAGACATTCTGGGAAGCAACTGAAATAAGACCATGAAACCACATTGGGAGGAAGAACTGGTATTTCATTCTTCCCATGGCTTGCCGGTCCAGACACCCTCCAGGGCAAGGGCCCCCCCGGTGTGGGAACAACCTCTGTGGATGGTTCCTCTCAGGGTTGGGCTTGCAGAGAGCTGGCTGGGAATTCAGGCTGGAGTCTGGTGTGAAGAGAATAGAAAAAGTGCTAAGACATTAATGAAGTCCCAGTTCACTAGTTGGCATGCACATTTGCAGGAAAAGGAAAGGGTTGGGAAAGAATAGGGTTAATTTTTAATGAACTTGAAGGTCAGCATTTTCGAGGATGTGGATAATTGACTCTGGAGAGTGAAGCGCTGCCCTCCTTGTGCTTAGCCATGTCTCAGCCCTCGTCCTGTTATTCCTTGTCCCAGTTTTATTCTTCACTTGTGGCCTTAGGCTGGGTTCCTGCAGGGTCACCTCACGGGATGGCAGATGTTGTAAAATTAGCCACAGACTCTGAGACAGCTGTAAGGCCTGGACTTTTGTTTGCTGTACTGAGAAAGGTGCATGCTTTTGACATTGAACCTTCGCCTCCAATGAAAGGTTGGCTTATGTGGGGCAGGGGTGGGGGTGGGGTTCTGAGGGTGGGGAGAGGAGTCTGTTTCAGAACTATGGCAATACGTGGGTTAATGTGGAGTGGAGGTTCTCTGGATTCCTAAGCAACTTTGAGGTATTATTATTCTTTATTGTTAGGCTGTGGGATATTTAAAGCCTCACCACAAAAGGTTCCACCCTGCTTGCGGAAAAAGTCTATCTCTAGAGTCTAGTGTACCTGTTTTTATATGCATGCGGTCACCTGTCATCTCTGGGGGGTGTTCTGTCGATTCAGGCAGCTGACCACTACCAGGAGATGGTTGGTGTCCAGGCTCCCGGGCAGAGCCACTTGGCAGCGCCAGCCTTTTTACTGCCCCGCCTTCTCCAGGGTTTGGAATGTGTGGATGTTTACTGTGGTGACCAGAAGGAGCTGGGGCTGTTAATAGAGTTATTCTTGCTGAATAGACTCAACTCCTGACCTCCAGAAGGTCTAAGAACTCATCTCAGCAAAGGGCCCGGTTATAAGATGTGTGTTTAATGTGCAACCGTTTTCGGGAGTGCTCCATTTGCAGTCCCCCCCTTCAGTACAGCGTGTGTTGAGCTTTTGTACCGATTTAAAAATTAAACCCACTTGATCATTAATTTTTTCCTTTTGTGAACCACAAAGGCGAGAAACAGAGCAAACACATTTGGAGCCAGTTGTTTGGCAGATCTGAAAGAGATGGGTCTGGGGAAAATAAGCCTCAATGGTTAGTATGAAGTTTTAACAAAGAGCTTCAGGTTGAGCACTTATAAAACTGCCAGTTGCCTTTGGCTAATGTTTGTTCTGCGAAGCTGAGTAAAATCTCTTCCGTGGTATTTGCATTTTGAAGGTATTATGTAATGGGCACTGACGAGTTTTTCTTCTTCTTTTCTTTCCTCCCACAAGGCCATGGTGTTAGGTGCCCTTGTGTGTGTGAAGGTTGTGTATGTGGTTCTTTGGTTGCTTTTTGTTTTCAACATCTTAGCGATCTTAAATGCACATATCTTTTGCCTTTGGGAGAATATTGAATATTGGTTTGATTTCCTTGGTTGGTGGTATAGAATGGCCAGACTGGATTTATTTTTTAAGGCTACAACGTAACATACAAAATATTATTAAACAAAAATAACAAAACAAACCACTTTTGAAAGCAGCACTTGCTACCACTTCTCCAAACCGTCCTTGAAGTCTTTTTCCCCTCTTCCTTTCAACATGTCATTGGGTAAAGGCTTAAAGAGCAGATCCGTTTTCCATTCTCCCATGTGTGCACCTTTTGCAGGTCCACAGTGCAATAGCACCGATTCTGCTTTCTCCCCGTGTCCCCCAGATCCCATCGGTCCTTCCTTCCCATCCCCTCCTGTGTCTGGCACTTTGTTGCTCTTCTGATCTCAAGCGGCTGCTTGTAGGCATGCCGACCTCCCTGGTGTGGTGGCTCACTTTTTAGACGTGCCTGCCGTTGGACTGAGAGTTGAGCCAGAGGACTAACATGAGTTCCAGGCTCGAAGTGAGTAAGGACCACCTTCTTCAAGGTCTCATCAATTTCTATATGACCAGTAAGCCCGGCCTTTTTGGTGATGTTGGGTTTTGTCCTACATTCTGTCTCCCACGGGATCCGCAGCCCTCTAATGTGATTTCCTTCAGACAGGTTGGTAGCAGCTGGGCAACGTCTAGTTCTTCGGGTTTCAGTTTCGTGAAGGCCGAGAGTTAGGAGTCCGTTTAGCCCTGTGGACTGATTGTTGCCATTATCTTTGCGTTTCCTCCTCTCCTTGTTCTGGAGAGAGGCCAATAGCTGCATCTCACAAGCTTGTAGGCCTCTCGTCAGTGCTCCCAGAGTGGAAAAGGGAGCGTTTTCTTTGATGGCTGCTCTGTGCCAGCTGACCTTGCCATTAGAGTCTTGAGCCCCCAGGCCCAGTGACTCACTCTCATAAGGTTTTGCTTATGGTTAAGATGTTTTCAGAACTTTGTCCCCTGTACACGCCACTGTATTCCTGGGTGTATTTGCAGCATGCGTAAATACATATGTAGGAATACTGTCTGTCAAACATGTATTTGTGGAAGTGGTCCCAGCAGACTTCCCCCGACCTGGCTAGCTTGCATGTCTATCTGTGTTTACATGCAGATGATGGTTCTGTTACTGTAAGACTGTATGTGTAACAGCGTGTACCCCTTATCACAGGGTGATCCTCCCTGGAAGACTAGCACATAATAGTTTCTTGGGCTTCAATTTCTCACCAGAGAATGACCCTTTTCGTCTCACCTCCATTCCCCTTGGTGTCTTAGCACCAGTACACAAAGTCCTGGTTGCCTGAGAACCAAGCTAAGCTGAGAAATAAAGTGTTCTGAGCGCAATTCCCTCTGGAAAATATTAGTGAGTTCCAGTTCATGCTTCATAAAAGAGAAAAACGATTACTACATTTGCTGTTTGATGAGTCCACTCTGATCTCCCTGTCTTGAGGTGGACACGGACAGTTCCTGGGATACGAACGGTTACAGCTGTCTGAACATCCCACATTCAACTCCCACCCGGCTTTCCTGTTATGTAAATTTGCCCTCGGTTTGAAAGGATTGATTGAACCAGCCCCTACTGACAAATTCCTCATCACTGGTCGCCTTTATCTGCTACATATGCAGCTTTTAAATCATTGGTCAGGTGTTGAGCCTCTCCTGGTCCTAACCGAAAGGCGTCCATAGGAAGCGCATGCACCTGTTCCGGCTCATTTACCAAGACACTCTTGGAAACCACCTCATTTGTAACCCGGGGACTGCCGATGCTTGGGAGCAGTGATGTACACAATTACTTACAGATGTTGGTAAAGAATTTCCTTAGCATTTCATTCCTCACATTTGGAACACATATGCCTAACTGTAGTTGTTTGAAACGTTTCTCCTTTGGGGTAGGGAGGGGAAAAGAGAAGAAAAAGAAAAGCCTTGGTGTACACAGCCATGTGTAAACACAAATGTGTTGAACTTGGCCTTTTAGCTTTTGTGTGGATGGATATTCAGTTTGGTTTTCATTGAACCGTGTGTGTGTGTGTGTGTGTGTGTGTGTGTGTTGCCTCTCCCCA